ATAATATTTTAAAATAAAATTATCAAGATATCAGGTATAATGACATTTAATTTTATTATAATCAATTAATATAAAATTTAAATTATTATTATACTTTGAAGATATATATTTAGTACTCATGTGACTATAAGATTTTTTATCTTATTTCATATACTTTGTTAAGTTATAGTAAACTTATTTTCATCTGTCAATTCACTATATCTCTACATAAATTTAAATAGATAAAAATATATCAAATTATGTGAAATTTCCTTATTTACTTTAAATAATAACATCCACTTATTACTAATGTTGTACAAATTATGTTAGTTCATCTCAATTTTTGTTCAATTTATAATCTATATTATTAAAAGTTACTGTATAAAATCACCTTATAGTCTCAATTATGCTTTCTATGCCAATTTTAAAGGTGACTAAGCATTAAAAGGCATTAAGAATAATAATATATACTCATAAGAAAATAGTAATCTCAAAAAGTATAAAAACCATAAAAATTTATATCAAATTAATTAGGTTACATTATACCTTTGGTTAAATTAGTTCATGATAAAAATATTAAAAGTTAGGGACTTATTTATTTCAATTAAGATTGCACATTAAAAGTGGAGTTTTGACACTGAAATTACTATGCTACCCTTAATGAATAAATATGATAAAAGGTTTTATTAAGGGTATTTTAATAATTTTAATAAGGATAATGATGTATTTACCCTGCCAACCGACACCCACGGTTACACCATTCGGTTCAAAAAATATAATATGAGTTAAATACGTTTGTATAGCGTAAAAAACTCATCCCTGGCTTGTCTGGGTTATCTCCTTTGAAATCCCTAGTCTTAAAGGCAATTCAATCGGCCTTCCCCAACCTCCATTTCTCCAAATCCGACCTCCATTTCAATCCCTCCAAGCTCTACAGACTCGTCCCAATTTGGTGAAACCATTTCAATCGGCCTTTCCGGACTTCCATTTCTCCAAATCCGACCTCCATTTCTCCAAATCTGAGTAATCTCCTTCGAACTCCCTAGTCTTGAAAGCCAATTCAACCAACCTCCCCGACCTCCATTTCTCTAAAACTGGGTTATTTCCTTCGAAATCCCTAATCTTGAAGGCCAATTCAATCGGCCTTCCTCGATCTCCATTTCTCCAAATTCGACCTCCATTTCTCCAAATCCGAGCTCCATTTCTCCAAATAGTGCACATTTCAGCACTTGGGCGATTGATTTGGTGAAACCATGTCAATCGTCCTTCCTCGACCTCCATTTCAAATGAGATGGAAACCTGTATTGAAATGAAGAAAATGAAGACTGTGCATAGATGAGATGCAGGGATGTGTGGGTTGACTGATTCCCTATCTTCGATCGAAGCATCTACATGCAAAGAATTAATATGTGAAGGGAGAGGGAGAGGAACAGAAAGAGAGGACCTGAAGGTTCGATGCTCTTCTCTCTGCGAAGACACATGATTCAAGCCTATTTGGTAACGAGAATAGACACTTTTTATGGGAATAGCTGAGAGCTGGGTTGTTTGGGTTTTATTCGCAAACCGTAAATAAACATATTATATAGGGTGTAACCCGTCGGGTGTCGAACCGGCGGGTGTCCCTATCGTTGTCCTTTTAATAATAGGACTATATTTTTAATGTGTAATCTAATCTTAATTTTTTTTTTGTAAAATTAAAATTATATTTATGAATCAAGAATATATATCAAAATAAAAACTAAAACTCAAAAAAAAAAAGTAACACAATTTAAGCATATTTATTTATT